AGACGCCCTCGTGCATCCCCTCACACATGTTGAATCGGAGCCAGATTCAGGGCCAGTTTAGAATCTCACTTTCTTCCGTTTGAATGTGACCTCTACAAATGTGTATTTTGAATCTTGCGTTGCTGTGCAGTTCAATCGGACCATTGCTGCGTTTTAGAAAAGGTGAACGCAGTCCAATTACATGGAAAAGGTCATTCGAAAAATGACCAGCCATCTGACAGACCACCACAGTAGAACTCGTTGAGCGCCACGTTCATATACGCCGAACCACTGGAACAAGATTCTGTTTATCGAATAAAACCTGGTCAACTTCAATGAATCTGGCGACCCTTCTGGCGCAAGATTCAAAAGGATTCCATGATAACGTCGAAGGTGGAAAAAAGGGGAACTCTCTCAGTCTAGAGACAGGCGGAGCGCCCCAAGGGTACGACCGACACGCTATTCGAAGCAAAGGATGTCTCCGGCGATTTTGCATGGCCGGCCACGCTCCGTATCCTCGAAACACGCCCAACGATTAGCTGAACACTGACCGTCGTCTCTGTCTGTTTAGCAGAAAAAGAAAAAGCGTAAGCGTTGAAGAAAGCAGCATCGAAGAGTCGCATCAATGCGGAAACCGACGAGGAAGAAAGGGACCTCATTTTTCGTGTTCTGGGCTGTTTCTCAGCATTCCATTCTGCTTGCCACACTATGCCACATGGCGTATCAATATTCGAAGGGAACAGAATAATGATTGATAACTAACGTATAAAATCAATATGGCAAAATTCTGACCGTATCTACGGCGTAGCTGAACACTAAAGAAATCTGAAGAAATTTTGCGCGGGAGCGAACCCGAATTTGTTTATGTTTTTTAGTTTGCGGACAAAGAATGTTCCCCAGTGAACAGTATGAATGCACCCACTTGCGACAACCGAGCGATGTGATCGATCCCAATCCGTTCACTTTGTTCAGAAATCAACGTCCAATCAACTTCAACAAGTTCATGTCCTGATGAAACAAGAGGCGTCTCTCGACTGTAGTACACTTTCACTGGGACTTTCCTGTAAAAAATGGGCAAAGCATTGCTGACGTAAGAAATGGTTTCATGAAAATTCGCACCTTTTTGCTTGTGAATCTACAGTTGGATTCAATTTCACTAGCAATGGGGAGTCAATGGCTACAGCAAAGAGAGATTGCAACAAAATTTCGTCTTGCTCAAGATCATCTGAACCAGTACAATACCAACCAACAGCTTCTAATTCCGGGAACACCTGCAATGAGGTTTCATTCAGTCACCAATCTTCCAAATTCTGAACATCTTACTATGACCCCACAAAAATGAAGAAAGTCGTCTAATCTCTAAAATTAAGGAAACTGACCTCTTTATATTGACTGAGCCTTTGACGTAAGAATTCTTCATTAAACCTGCAATGACCGTCCAGCGTGAACATTCGCAACTCGAACGAATTCACCATTTCGACGTGACCTTCATCGACTTTACCCAACACAGCTCCAAACACCTAAACCCCAGATTACTACGGACGTACAAGTGATGAACTGTTAGGCGTAGCCGCAGGTAGGTTTGACAAAAGAAAACTGGGAACTAATCGTTAAGCGCTGTGAAATATTCATTCCTCACAACCTGGTGGGGTCATATACTAGGTCGTCCCAAAGCTTGTGCGTTTTTTGAACTTTTTTCCAACTGAGCATTATCTAAAAGCAAGCGTATCTATCGCCAATATATAAACCGCACTACATATAAGTGACCTTTTACCAACGGTTCATCGAAGAGTCGATACCGTGGTCCCAGCAGTCGGTGTGTGCAATGGTGTTTCAAGCGGTTTACGAATTACTTGAACTTTCTTCTATGGTCCTGCCACGAATGGCGGAGGGCACAGACAATTAGAGAACGGCGCCTGGCTCGGCTCCAAATCCCAAGGAAGGAGGTGAGAGCCCTAGGACTAAGCCTTGTAGGAGGGAGGGACTTCGAGGTGGGTGAGCCAACTACAGTGTGGCAAAAGTTTGAATGTGTGAGATCACAGTGGTCATGAGCCGCTGATAAGGCGAGAGAGCGCAGACGAGAGCATCGAATTGAGGCGGCTTGAAAGGACCGAGTTCAAGTCGTCCGTCGACCGTTTCAAGCCGAAGAAGGGATTTTCCTTAAAACGTATTTTGTTGTCTCTAAGGTATCCGCTTAGCAAGAAAGGTGAACCACCGCTGGTGGATGTGGAAGTTGATCAATTAGGTTCAAGACCCAGAGTCGTCGTAACTCTTCGTACGCGTTTGCTGCAGTGCGCATGACATATACACTGGTGTGCAAAACTTAAGGACCGAAGTAACTTTCACATGATATCTCACTGCTAGTTAACCTAGGTGGACCAAATTTGGCACATATATAGAAGTAAATGTTGCGGTACAGTGCAGAGAGTTACTAACAGAAAAGCGCAAAGGGGCGATTGGAAAAGACATTTTTCTGCAAATACCCTGTCTGAAGCGGTCGATAGGTGAGGCTTCTCCAACTCATGGTAGACACTTCAAAAGAGAGGAGCTAGGTTCTTGATGGGGTGTATGAACACTACGGACTGCAAGGTATGCTCTGCTACGTGTTCCCATACAGGCCGTAAGATTAGTTAAGAGTTCTTGAGGAGAAGTGACCGATTCCTTGGAGACCGCGATTGACAACTGCAGGACTATTGTTGGCACATGGTCATGTGCTACAATAGCTCATCTGAATCCACGCCACACGTGCTCCATAGAATTAGACTGGAGGAAATAAATGGCTTCACCAATTACCGAAAATCCTCACTTTTCAAGAGTTTTCCACCCAGGCTGCTCGATACTCTCGCACACTGCCCTCCATACGATTGAAGCTGAGGGCAAGGGAACCCTTGGAAAGATGCACATGACAGAAGGGTACAACACCACAATCACGTTGATCAGAAAGTGTAACGCGATCATGAGTTGGGGATCAGTACGCCCCGACAACTTTATGCCTCCCCACATCATGTCGCATGCACTACCAAAACAATCATGTTAAACGATGGTCCTGGGTAGATTACACGTTCCTATTTTCCCCATATGCAGGTAAGTCCAGAATCACTACTCACATTCAGTTTGCTCTTGACCGGGAAGAATACGCGATTTTTCAATTCGGTGGTCCATCTCCAATGTCTCGGCTCGTACCAAATGTCCCAGCCGAGGCGTGGATTTCAAATGAATACAGGTATTGTTGATCGATGAGAGAGATCACTCCTAGGCGGTCACTGCGCCACTGTCCGGACTGGGATTACATGCCTTACAATCCTGATAAATGTTTTTGCAACTGCAGCATGTGACTGACGTGGGTCCATTTTTGCCTGTAGCAAAACCTAGCAATCACCTGCTGCTGCGGTTGTTCGTGACCCACAACCTCCTCTTCTTGGGACAGCAGTGGCTGCGGTCCACATTGCTTCTCATGCACAAAAAACAATGCTGTGGTTGACACAAAACTCCTGGACACAACTTCCTTTTTTCAGTTTCCCAATGATTCTTCCTCGCGTAAAGTCACCCTAGTGTTGTCTCTGAGACTTGATGTAATCAAGAACACCACTACATTCCACAGTCACTTCTCCCTGCTTAGTTTACCCCTCTTGTCCTGCCCCACGATACCCATCGTTCTGGGTGGCCACCCCATTTAGGCTCCAGATTGAAGCCGGATGCAAGACATATGAGGCCCACTTCGGTGCCCATGACTGTAGGGCTTCTAGCATTATGCCCGTACAGTTTCATCCAATTCCATCTAATTGTTAATAAGTTAGGACAATTTATCTATCTGGTCCTTAAGTTTTGCACACCAGTGTACATTGTTGGAGTTTTGGGCACCTAGTTGGGTTTCCTCCCTCGCCCATTAGGCTTGACTTCTCACGCTTAAAGGAATCTTCCGCGGAAAAAGCTCCGCCTCCATTACCAGAAAAACGATACCCTTAGGCCCCTAGCCTCATGAGCATAGCAAAAAGAACGGAACATAAGCGTTAGTTTCGATAATACTAATCCTACACACAAGACAAAATGATCACTCTTTCCGTGGAAGATTCCTTTAAGGTATCGTTTTCTGTGGTAATGAGGGCGGAGCTTTTTCCGTGGAGGATTCCTTTAACAGATCGCGCAAGCTTTCAGGGAAGGAGAAGACCTTAACGACTGATTCGCGAGCAGCTTACCATATGTAGGTAGGTACCTTACCAAAACCTTCTGCTGAATGTGAAGGGTCCAACTGCGACAACGAATGCCAGTGGATATTCATCAATAAGGGAAAGGCACGTTAGTTTATCATTCCTAACTCGAAGAGAGCGACAGAAGTGGGTGTGATACGGTCATTAGCTACTGTATCGCCGTCTCCACAGCCTACAGGAAGGGCCGATGTCATAGTTTGCGATTCGAAGCGATTCGCTAGCGAATCGCTCGATCCGAGCGTTGCGCCAGCGAATCGAACGTTGCACCAGCGAATCGAACTTTGCGCCAGCGAGTCGAACGATGTACCAGCGAGTCGAACTAGGTACCAGCGACTCAATAGTGGCGGGACCCCAACGTTTAAAGGAAGCCCGCCACTTTCAAACAGTGTCCACTGCAAAGTCCCGCCACTTTCAAACAGCGTCCACTGTCACGTGACACTGTTTGAAAGTGGCGGGCTTCCTTTAAACGTTGGGTCCCGCCACTATTGAGTCGCTGGTACCTAGTTCGACTCGCTGGTACATCGTTCGACTCGCTGGCGCAAAGTTCGATTCGCTGGTGCAACGTTCGATTCGCTGGCGCAACGCTCGATTCGCAAACTATGACATCGGCCTATAGCCAGGGTTCCTGCCGGCCGAGATCCAAAAAATATGCACCAACTTTCAGGACAACCTAATAACTTTTCGCCGCATTGACCTCAATCTTGAGGCGAAAATTCTGATGCTGGTCCTTTACACGGCCTCATTGGGAAGAGGTTGTATTGTGCTCTGAGTGACGAAAATGCAATCCCTATCAAAAGATGTCGGCCGATGTCAGAGGGAAGAGTACTCATGAGGCGCAGATAAACCCTTTTTTGAGGATGGGTTGTATTGGGAGTTTAATGAATTATAGTGAAATTCGCACAACATGAGGGGAACAACGTGAAAAAACTTCTACATTTCTCCTGTTTCGATTGTATTACATATGTTCCTCACATATTACATAGCCCCGCTCAACGAACTCCCTTTGAAGAGAGCGCCATCTATGGTTAAGGGTACGGTGGAGATAGGACTATGGGTCATGGGACCCCAAACGAGAGTGAAGTGGGAGGGGGCTTCCGAATTTCCTTAACAAACCCATTTTCCAAGAAAAAGCCTGTAGTTCAATGAGTAATGGAGTGAACTAGCATGATAAACTAATAGAATTAGTGTAGTGAAGACCCACTATTTAAATTACTATTCATAAGGATATTCGTTCGAAATAGCTCAACATGACACTTTTCCCCACCTTCTGAGCAGTTTTGTCCCGACTTTGCGCTCGCATCCTCGTCCAGTGCTCGGAAATGTTTATAATGACAAGTGGATGCAGACTACACTCAACTGATGGCACCGCAGGCTTTTTCGTAGAGCACGGAACAGCCGCTGGTTCTACTTGGCTCATCGTCACATCCGTCATGCCTAAAAAGCATAACCGTCTCAAGAGTATACTCAAAAGGATGTGACAAAAATTTAGGAAAGTTGAAGGCTGTTGGTATGTGGACATTAACGACCTACAACAGAAGTAAATGAGTTATTTCATAAAATTTATTCATACCTGAGACCAAAAGCACGAACAACAACTTAACAATTGAGCACTAATTAAATACATCCATATTAGTGATTACTGACAAATAGCTGTCATTAAACTACTTCCGCTATCTTCTTTTTCTGCATCTCCGCCCTCCGTGCTTGCTTGGCCGCCTGAAAATTTGGAAGAAATTACATGGGACGCATACCCAGTTATTCAAATAACACCAGACATGATGAAACTAATGTGATACACTTTAATGAGGTGAATATTCACGCTATTTGCTATAATAAAGCAGATGCTATCATAGAACTACAGCAAATTCAAAGCAATTACCACTAATTACCTTTTTCTCTTCCAGTTCCTTTTGTTGGAGCATGACTTCAAACCGTGGATCTTTAGGATCCATCCAATAGCCAAAGTATTCTTGGATCTCCCTACAAATGGTAACCTTAGAAAGCTAATAAATAGAATAAAATATATTAGGTTGTCCCATAATTAGTGAATCACTTTACATTTATTGCTATAAAAATCCAAGAAAAATGGTAAAGGCGTGAAACATGTTTTGCGAAGTAGCACCCACATTATCCTACCTGAGCATTAGTCAGCCCATTTACATGCTGCCTTCCGTGGCTATTACTTCAATTTTTCTAGGAACCTATTTTTGAGCTTCCTTCTTCATCACTTCTGATTAGGATCTTTCAAACGCCAAACAACATATCAACCAGCAGATAGGCGAGGGCACGCTCCTTCAATCCACGGTCACCAGTGGTTCACTCTATTCCGGGGTTGGCTTTTTTTTTGAAGATGATCCCACACTCCAACTACCCCTCATGAGGCAGTATTACTGCTCTACCCAGCGCCACTGAGAACGATCTGGATAAACCAGCGCACTCGACTTGGGGAGTGATGGTCAAACGCTGCAAGTAAAATCCCCCACGAAGACTGCTCGGGGTCTTCGGAGCTGAATGATTGTTGAACAATTAACTTTGCAGCGACTGCATCGCAACCACTTTCGAACCAAACAAAATAACTTCGTAAATTATGCGGTGAAGAAAGCCTTCTCTTCTTCTTCTCCCTAGCGTTAGTCCCGCGCAGTCGCAGGGTCCGCTGTTCTTATCAGTCGTCGCCACTTCGCTCTGTCCAGGGCATCCCTGCAGTGGCCATGATTTCACTTAGGTCCTTCTTGACTACGTCCTTCCACCTCTTCTTTGGGGCTCCTCGCGGTCGCTTGCCTTGCGCTTCGAAGTCCATTGCATTCCTTATTGGGTGGCCTTGTGGTCTTCTTAGCACATGCCCATACCACCGCAGTCGCTGCTCCCTCACCTTCAGCTGAACAGGGGCAGTCTGCATGACCGTTCTGACATCCTCGTTCCTGACCCTGTCCAGTCGCGTCCAGCCGCAGGCCCATCTCAGCATCCTCATTTCGGCGAGTGAAGCTGCCTTTCGTGGTTCTTGTTCAGGGGCCAGCACTCGCTGCCGTAGAGCATCGCAGGCCTTACCACTGTTCGGTACACCTTCCCTTTGAGCGTTCTGGAGCACCTTCGGTCGCAGAGGATTCCAGTGGATTCCCTCCATTTCATCCATGCCGCGTTGATCCTCCCCTTTACTGCCTGGTCCACACTGCCGTCGGCCGCCAGATCACTCCCAAGGTATCGGAAGTCCTCCACTCTTTCGATGCTTTCGCCATGTCCATCCACGATCGGCTCTGCACTCTCTTCGGAGCTCAGGAACTTGGTCTTCTTGACATTTAGCCGGAGCCCCCCTTCTGCCAGGACCTTCTGCCACTTCTGCACCTTGGCCTGTAGTTCTTCTCTGCTATCAGCTATCAGGGCGATGTCGTCAGCGTAGAGGATGGTCTTTAGTGGTCCTTCTATGAGCCCCTTCACCATGACATCTAGTGTTAGGAGGAAGAGGAACGGACTCAGAGCTGACCCTTGATGCACCCCAACCGTGATGTTTACCTCTTTTGTTAGGCCATGTGGGGTGCGTATGGCTGCCTTAGCCCCGTCGTACATGTCCTTCACCAGCGAGACCAGGTGTTCTGGCACGTTCCGTTCTCTAAGCGCTCTCCACAGTACCGCTCGTGGTAGCCGGTCGAACGCCTTCTCCAAGTCGAGGAAGGCTAGGTAACAGGGTCGGCGCTTTTCTCGATACTTCTCCATCACTTGTCTTGCGATGAAGATGGCATCCGTCGTAGACCTTTCGGGCATGAACCCGAACTGTTCCTGGGAGATGGGGACCAGCTCGCAGTCTCGAGTCGACCAGTCGCTCGTACAGCTTCATTGTATGAGCAGTCAACTTGATCCCGCGGTAGTTGGAGCAGTCCATCGCGTCACCCTTCTGCTTGAAGATGGGGACGATAGTGCTTGTTCTCCAGGCATCTGGCATCCTTCCTTCCGCAGTTATGTTGTTGAGGAATCGTGTGAGCCATCTTATCCCGTAGTCACCGCCTTCCATTCTTCATGCCTCAATTGGCACCCCATAACCTCAGGGCCTCAGTCCTGAGTGCGATGGGCGCGCTGTGGCCTCTGCTGGTGCGTGGTGTTGCGTGTGGTGGGGAGGGGTTGTTGTGCGGGTGGGGGCGGTTCTCGCTAGGGGACTCTCGCTTCAGAAGTGCACTGTAGTACTCTTCCACCGCCTTTTTGACTCGCTGGCTTCTGAGGAATGACACCATCTTGCCTTTCCTGGGAAGAAAAGCCTTTGTGGGGCATAAAGGAATCGTTTGGAATTCGAACTAAATTATGCAAAATCTGAGAAAAAAAAAACGTGGTAATTCCACAAAAATGCTGGGTTGTGAACAAAACTTTGGCTCTAGACAGAACTGAAACCCTACCCCTTGCTTTCCGGGCAAGTGGCTACAAGATACGCTACGCGGACATCAGCTTTCATGGTATACTTACCACAGCTTGTCAGCACTAACATGTATAACGTGGTAAGCAGGCTAGCCGACATCAGCAGTGAAGCGTAAGGTTTCAGACTGTCTGGTGCGAAGTTTTGTTCACAACCCAGCATTTTTGTAAAAACTTTTGAGGCGAACTGCGGCCTAAAACAGCAGTCAAAGAAAAAAAAAAAACGAAACTTGGTAATGATTCTGATTACAAATGCTGATGTACAAAGCGCATCTGAAGAATTCGCCGTGATGTTTTGTCATGAACGCAATACAAATATACAGGGTGGGGCAAAATTACTGGTGCACCAATATTTTGCTGGCATTTCGAGACTAGCTTTCAGAAATCGATTCTAATCACGAATATTATTTGTAGAAAAGATGACAATTCAAAACGTATTAACAGTTCTCAAAATGATCGCCTCTAGCCTTTACACAGTTCTCTGAGCATTTGGCATACGCATGCCATGTGGCACGCAGGTATTTTTCATCAATTTTGTCCCAGGATTCCAAAAGCGCCGTCATGAGAAGGTTCAAATTTCGGTAATTGATAGGGCAGACTTTTTCCTTTAGGATAGCCCATACTTGGAAATATATCGGTCTTTCCGAAGAATTGGAGAACCATTCGTCATAATTGGTGGAGTTGAGGGTTTGCTCGGTGCACTGTTTCTGGACCATTCACGGTCAGTGTCCTGAAGCAAACCCTTTGGTGAATTCACCCGTAATCCTCTCCAAAGTGAAGACACGCCCATGGTTTTGAACAAATACCGAGTTTGAACGCTATTTGAACAAAATTTGGGGATTTGAAAAATCGTCGAGAACGGTTTCGCATAGCGCTCTGCTGGAGGTTGATTGGTGCATTTCACAAAGTGGAAGGCTTAACCAATTTGTGTTCAGGGCGTATTAGTAGCAGAGTGTTCAAGCTACATACCATGAAAGAATTAGACAAGAAGAATTAGACAAGAAAGTGTACAACAAGATTCAAAAAAAAATCCATTATATTTAGGTGCACCAGTAATTTTTGCCCCACCCTGCAGAAACATAGCTGTTCAAAATTATCAGACATCCAACGAAACCATAATGACAAAATTAAACAACCGTATTCGATTCTCCAGCGCAATCTCCTTTTCATCACGCTCCTTTTCCGCCTTGATCTGCGAAGCTTCGTACTTGGCAAGCACTTCTGGATATTTTTCGAGATTCTTTTCCAATTCCGCTATCCTAGCCGCCTCTTTGGCCTGCTTCTTTTGCTTAAGTGCCTTCATTTCCCTCACACATAAGTCATATTCTCGATAAAGTCCAATGGCTTGTTCCTCCTCAATTTCCTAAAGAAGTGATAATGTATTCAGATACCATGAATGCATGCTAGGAAATTTCCTTTTAGTTACCTCAACTGTTGGCCAACATATCGATGGATCAATTCCACTTTTTCTTCAGCCATATGCAAAACTTTTTTTTTTTTTATGCCGAAAGCGTTCCCGCTGACGCAGATCCGTTTGCGTTCCCATTCGAATTCAATCGTGGCATACCACCAGCTGCGATCACCCGATGGCGAGGCTTGAGTCTGCAATAGTCTGTCTGACCATTACCGCTTCCAGCTTCTGAACATCATTCCTCAAAACATGAAAAGCCTACCCTGAAATATCAAGTCGAGGCCCAGCTTCCTCAACGTCAACAACTACAGCTTGCAGCGTCTTTTCGTTGGGTACAGATAGTTTGCGAATGGATCTGGATACTGTGGCAGAGCAAGACGGTAAGCATAAACGCCCTAACATCTGAATTAACTTGGATTAGTGAAAATTTCACGAAACACATTCGAGCAAATGCAACAGCAGATACGTGGCGTTGGGTCGCACTTTTTGCATTGGAGCAAGAAATGAGAAGAGAAGCTGGTTGCATGAGATGTATTTCAAAAGCACCAGAAATACGAAACTTGTTGTAAGGTAGTAGAGAAAAAAGGAGCTTTCAAGTGGCAAATCCTTTTAATCATATCAAAGCAACCTTTGAAGAAATCCGCCGCCCACTTTCAAGTCGGGACTATCTGATCATGTAAACGCACTACTGAACCTAAGCTTTGGGATATTGGGTCAGGACGCCCATGGCATGAAAAGCAGCCAATTTTTCCCAAAGGCCGTATCCTATCCTTCCCGTCCTTTCACTGCGGGACGGGGAGTGGATGGGCGAGTCCACCGCTAATTCAGAGGTCTTTCGAGAAGTAAAACAAAACACTGGATCATGCCAATAGGCATGGTTATTCGATGGCCGGTGCAACTGCACTTGGAAAAGAAAACTGGACGGTGACGGTAGTAGTAAAGCCAAATCAAGTACATTGCCATTATCACCCATTCTGCTGGGCATATCAGAGAACCAATGAAGCCTTCGAGACATCATCGGCGCCTTACTTCGCCGTTGATAGCGCGCCTTCCGCCGAGAGCTCCAACTATACTTGGGCACTTCTGTACTCGCTTCACTACTGATCTTTCTCTCTCAGTAACGTTTCGCTTTTTTCGCGAATTTAAGGCAGCACTCATCTCCCGCCAACGCTTTTCCACACCTATTTGATCCCGAATCTTGCCTTTAACTGCTCCTAAGCTCTTCATTAAGGCGTCTGTAGACAAGCAAGGAGTAATGATCTCAAAAGGCTTCCTTGCTATGTTGTCGAAAAGAACAAAAAGCGAACCCGCCAAGAAGTCGGTCTGATGACCTCCTATGCCACACTTTTCCACTTTATAACTACTCTCATAAAATCGTCTAGCAGAGACGAAAAGCAATTTTAAGCTCAATATGTCGAGGCAAATGGAAAGGTATACAGGGGTGGCCAAAAAAAGAGACACTTGACTCCACATTTCAGACAGCATTAATCACACTTTGCTAGAATCAAATCGACTGCCCCCAACTCAGTATTGAAGAGCACATTCTAATCTATCTAAATTACATGACAGCCTTCTACACCGACGACATCAGAAGATTTTCCCACGGAAACATGGTTCACGGTACGAGCTCAACGAGGTCGTCGAGGTACCATAGACCATTACGACGTCCCTGAAACGCTGGTCAAAAGCGGTTTGCATAGTCACAGCTAATGTCTCTGGAAGCTATTCACAGTTAATCCATTGAAGAAATTATGTAGCAGCTTCAGGCCGGAGCGATTACGGTAAGCCTCGTTGAGCTCGACGGTGGCGGCAGATGACGTCATATTCTGAAGACGGCGGGGCAGTGAAGGAGGGCCTGCTTCTGTTTACGGGGGAACATAGGAATATTCGCCGTAAAACTTTCATTAACATCGGCACCCTGTGCGACGAAAAGTTCGATGATGTGCGCCATGGGCAAAGTGTCTCTTTTTTTTGGCCACCCCTGTATAAATGCCTCAGAGCGACTGGACGACCTGATGACGCTCCCTTGTGGACCATGGACTGAGTCACTGGCATGCTGATTAGCCAAGACCCTGTGCTCATTATGCATGCAAACATAGCAATAGCCTCTGTGGGGTGAGTGGGGAGGAGGATGGTAAGGTGGTTCTTCGATGAGGGCAAACTGTTACCCGTTAATCACAGGTAATCACTGGAAAAGATAGGGCAACAAATATGGATAAGCGTTTCCTGTACCTCCTCATCTAACAACTATAACACAGGTGTGATAAGTTTATGCTACGTAAGTCATCAAAGATGAAACTTTAGCAAAATCCACGACAGATATTCATCGCTGCTTCCAAACACGAAAAAATGAGATGCATTCAAAGATATCCGTGTACTCCAAAGGGTTACCAAACTAGGAGATGAAATAAACTGAACCAGTGACCGGAATATTGACAATATTACCTGATAAAAACTTATGAGAAGTCAGAAAAAATTATCGCTCCAATTGATCAGCGGTGTTTCTTCTTCGCCTTCGTTGTAAATATTGTCTGCCATTTGCCATACCTGCAAATACTTTGAAATTCCATACCTTATAACTGAGGTACTCTGAAGAAATTGATGCAGAAATTAAGAAGTCTTCAAAGTCAGAAGGCGAACTTTTTTTTACCTTCTCGACTCAAGTGGGTTTTAAGAAGAGAGCTGGTAAGTGGCCTGTTAATGGCAAAAGAAAAGTATGAACCCGTCAAGACAACGCAAATTGGGACCACTTTTCTAACTCGTTTATTTTCGACTCTAGACGTAGGAGCAACCAAGAAGGAGGTCATTTGGACGTCTTATTCCGTCTTATCCGAATACCATGCTCTAACTGACAACGCATTACCTACACAGATCGAAAGGTGTGGCCGCTTGGATTTAGGCGTACTTCGACATAAAAAGCCACTGGCAACATAATTGTGGGCTGTTTTAGGCTTTAAGATGCTTTAGCTTTGGCTCATCACGGTTTTAGATTTCAAGCCTTACAGTGCTGCAACTAGCCCACCATTCGCCACACCTCCCTCCCTTGCCGCTTGGTAACTTAGCGGCGTGAATACTTCCCAGTGGCCAGCAATTCATCATAACCACAGATTTGAGACAATCTATGCGAAATGAATCACGAAGGACAACAACATAGATGAGTGCATGCGTGAGACAACGTTTCCAATCAAATAAGTCGTTGCCATGAGTAGAACAAACCTGCATGATGTTATCCTCCGAGACGCTGCACACAACCCAAGGTTCATTAGGATTCCATGAGAAATCACTAATTTTTGCTGTGTGACCTCCATGAATGAACAGCAACTCCGGTGGTCCATCCTGAAAAATTCTCAACATTGAGAAGGATTTTTACCATCTTTGTGAGAACGATGTAGGAGCAGTTCTCACCTCAGCATCTTCAGGATTCTGTTCCTCTCCAATTTTGGACAAATCCCACACGTGAAGTCTCCTTAACGCCTATATTCATTGAATGGATTAGTAATGGCAGAAATTATATGACAAACCTATCAGTTCCACTGCTAGCCAGAATGGTCTCATTATGAGGACTCCACTGCACTTGGAAAATCTCGTCCTTGTGTGACTCAAACGAATGCAGCTTCAGCTTCATATTTCGTAGGTCCCAGAGGGCCACAGTCTGCAATGAAACCATACTGCTGTAATAATTTTGAAAACCAAATTCGTAGCCACTACATGAAGCTAAAAAAAAGATTGCACCTTATCAGCACTTCCAGTTGCAAGAATGAATTCCGAATAAGGATTGAACGATAGAACAGTTGACTTCAGCGGAATGTGCTTCAACTGTATGTGCAGGCTGATTTCCTCGGATATCCCAAATCATCAATTTGTGATCGTCACCAACAGAACCAAATACTGCTTCATGTAGCACATGCCATGCAACATCTTCGACGACCTTAACCGCAAAGAACTTGATTATACTGGCGGCCCCAATAATGGTTACGAAGCTATAAACTATCTCCAGCGCACTGTAGAAACACGAGAAAATCCAGAAAATTTCTTTCCTTGAACTCATGTTGATTTCGAAAAGGAGAGAAAATAAAATCCACATACCTGTGTATGCCCCTTGAAAATAGTCTTTGCATCCAAGTACCCAGCGCTAATCTCGTTTGCTTGGACATCCCATAGACATACCTAAATGAAGCAACATTATAGAAACCCAACACAAAGAAGCGAAACATTAACTCGCAATAAATTACGAAAAAAATGATATGTGTAAACCATTAATAAATCAGGAACAGAGAAACCAAAAGAATGTCATAAAGGTCATAATGGCGACGTATACTAAACGGTCATGTCATCAAGAAGTCAGATAAGAATGTTTCCTTCTTGTTATGATTCACGAAAGACATAACCTTCCTTCGTATGTCCACGGAGCCGTAATTGAGGCTTACACTGGTTATCTTTTGGAACAGATGAGTGTTTAGTGTAGTCGAAAACGAAAACCTGCAACGATTATGCATAAGATCCTCTCGTAAAACGAGTGGCCTTGAACAACTGTGAGCCTCTTCGGAGAGCTTCTTCATGGAAAACCACTTCTCTAATTTTATTTGAAACCTAGCCACATATCTGACCAAACAAAGGCTGAGTAATTGTCTTTACATATTCCCGCCTAAGGCTTGCCGAGTGTCACGAGCGGGTCCTTAGGACTACCGCCGCGCCCTGCTTCGTAAGTCCGCGTTTCTGCCTTAGCAAACCCAACCTCGATTATAGTTCAAAACATTACCTTCAGCCTTGAGACTTGAGTTGCAATTATGACTTGATCTCTGTGGCATGTGAATCGAGCGCGGGTTGAACTTCGCCCATCGTGTTAATTTTTTAGTCTGTCTTCAAGAGTTCGGGAGGTTGGAGCGATTACCGGAAAGTGGGAGACAGAAATAAAAATTAACCACGATGGCGAAGTTAACCGCGCTCGATACATGCCACAGAATCCAGTCATAATTGCAACCAAGTCTCCCAAGGCTGAGGTAATGTTTGAACTATAACTCGAGTGTGGTTTGCTAAGGCAGAACGCGACTTATCCGAAGCACACGCTGGGGGTAGTCCTAGCGAACCGAACTCCCTCAACTCGAGCAAGCCTAGGGAAATAGTGAAATTTTTCTAAATTGTCAGATATTGGCTAGGTTTCAAATAAAATTTAGAGAAGTTGGTTTCCGTGAGGGAAGGCTCTCCGAAAGGCTCAACAGTTTTCAAAGCACTCGTTTTACGAGAGATCTTTATGCATAATCGTTGCAGGTTTTCGTTTTCGACTACACTAAACACTCATCTGTTCCAAAAGATAACCAGTGTAAGCCTCAATTACGGCTCCGTGGACATACGAAGGAAGGTTATGGTCTTTCGTGGAATCCTAACAAGCAAGGACACATTCTATCTGCTTCTGATGACATGACCGTTAGTATATGTTGCCATTCATGCCTTTATGACATTCTTTTGGTTTCTCTGTTCCTGATTTATTAATGGTTTTACACATATCATTTTTTTCGTAATTTATTGCGAGTTAATGTTTCGCTTCTTTGTGTTGGGTTTCTATAATGTTGCTTCATTTAGGTATGTCTATGGGATGTCCAAGCAAACGAGATTAGCGCTGGGTACTTGGATGCAAAAAAGACTATTTTCAAGGGGCATACACAGGGTATGTGGATTTTATTTTCTCTCTCCTTTCGAAATCAACATGAGTTTCAAGGAAAGAAATTTTCTGGATTTTCTCGTGTTTCTACAGTGCTGGAGATAGTTTATAGCTTCGTAACCATTATTGGCGCCCATATAATCAGTTCTTTGCGTTAAGGTCGTCGAAGATGTTGCATGGCATGTGCTACATGAAGCAGTATTTGGTTCTGTTGGTGACGATCACAAATTGATGATTTGGGATATCCGAGGAAATCAGCCTGCAGCCATCATCAGTGAGCAGAAAAAAAAAAATAACTTCGGCTGAACGTCAACGTTTCGTTTAATCCTATTCAGAATTATTTCTTGCAACTGGAAGTGCTGATAAGGTGCAATCTTTTTTTGTCTTTAGCTTTCTATACAGTGACTACTAATTTGGCTTTCAGAAATCTTTATATTAGTGTGATTTCATTTCTAGACTGTGGCCCTTTGGGACCTTCGAAATATGAAGCTGAAGCTGCACTCGTTTGAGTCACACCTCCAGATAGATTTTTCCAAGTGGGCAGTGAGGTCCCTCATAACGAAGACCATTTCTGCTAGAGTGGGCACTCGAACAGTTCTGTCGTCATCATTTGATGCCACTTAAATTCTTTTAAATTAATGTAACGCGTTAAGGAGACTTCACGTGTGGGACTTGTCCAAAATTGGAGAGGAACAGAATCCTGAAGATGCTGAGGTGAGAACTACTCCTACCTCGTTCTCACAAAGATGGTAAAAACTTTCTCAATATGGAAAATTTTTCAGGATGGACCACCGGAGTTGCTGTTCATTCATGGAGGTCACACAGCGAAGATTAGCGATTTTTCATGGAATCCTAATGAGCCTTGGGTTGTGTGCAGCGTCTCAGAAGATAACATCATGCAGGTTTGTTCTACTCATGGCAGTCGGCTTATTTTTATTGAAACGTTCACACAATGGCAGTCATGCTATGTTGTTTGTCCTTCGTGATCATCGCATAGATTGCTCCCAACGCTCGTGGTTATGATGAAATGGCTGCCTGGGGAGTAATCAACGTCGCTAACGATAAGTTACCAACGGCAAGGAGGGAGTTGTGGGGGGGGGGGGGGCGAATGGTGGGCTAGTTGCAGCACTGTAAGGCTTGAAATCTAAAACCGTGATGAGCCAAAGCTTAAAGCATCTTAAAGCCTAAAATAGCCCACAATTATGTTGCTAGTGGCTTTTTATTTCGATGTACGCCTAAATCCAAGCGGCTACACCTTTCGATCTGTGTAGGTAATGCGTTGTCACTTAGAGCATGATATCGATAAGCCTCGGTTAAGACGTCCAATGACTCCTTCTTGGTTGTCCGTTCTCTTTTCTGGCGTCCTACGTCTAGAGTCGAAAATAAACGAGTTAGAAAGGTGGTTCCAAATTGCGTTGTCTTGACGGGTTCATACTTTTCTTTTGCTATTAACAGGCCACTTACCAGCTCTCTTCTTGAAACCCACTTGGGTCGAGAAGGTAAAAAAGTTCGCCTTCTGACTTTGAAAACTTCTTAATTTCTGCATCAATTTCTTCAGAGTACCTCAGTTATAAGGTAATGGAATTTCAACGTATTTGCAGGTATGGCAAATGGCAGACAATATTTACAACGAAGGCGAAGAAGAAACACCCGCTGATCAATTGGAGCGATAATTTTTTCTGACTTCTCATAAGTTTTTATCAGGTAATATTGTCAATATTCCGGTCACTGGTTCAGTTTATTTCATCTCCTAGTTTGGTAACCCTTTGGAGTACACGGATATCTTTGAATGCATCTCATTTTTTCGTGTTTGGAAGCAGCGATGAATATCTGTCGTGGATTTTGCTAAAGTTTCATCTTTGATGACTTACGTAGCATAAACTTATCACACCTGTGTTATAGTTGTTAGATGAGGAGGTACAGGAACGCTTATCCATATTTGTTACCCTATCTTTTCCAGTGATTACCTGTGATTAACGGGTAACAGTTTGCCTCATCGAAGAAATTAATTCTATAAGGGCTAATGCTATGTTTGCATGCATAATGAGCACAGGGGCCTTGGCTAATCAGCATGCCAGTGACTGAGTTCATGATTCACGAGGAGCGTCACATCAGGTCGCCCAAGTCGTCTAAGGTGGCATACAGGGTGGCCAAAAAAAAGAGACACTTTGCCATGGCGCACATCATCGAACTTTTCGTCGCACAGGGTGCCGGTGTTAATGAAAGTTTTACGGTGAAATATTCCTAAGGTGTTCCCCCGTAAACAGAAGCAGGCCCTCCTTCACTGTCCCCGCCGTCTTCAGAATATGACGTCATCTGCCGCCACCGTCGAGCTCAACGAGGCTTACCGTAATCGCTCCGGCCTGAAGCTGCTTCATAATTTCTTCAATGATTAACTGTTGAATAGCTTCCTAGAGACATTAGCTGTGACTATGCAAAACCGCTTTTGACCAGCGTTTCAGGGACGTCGTAATGGTCTATGGTACCTCGACGACCCGTTGAGCTCGTACCGTGAACCATGTTTCCGTGGGAAAATCTTCTGATGTCGTCGGTGTAGAAGGCTGTCATGTAAGGTTTAGATAGATTAGAAGGTGCTCTTCAATACTGAGTTGGGGGCAGTCGATTTGATTCTAGCAAAGTGTGATTAATGCTGTCTGAAATGTGGAGTCAAGTGTCTCTTTTTTTTGGCCACCCCTGTATACCTTTCCATTTGCCTCGACATATTGAGCCTTAGAATTGCTTTTTCGTCTCTGCTAGACGATTTTATGAGAGTAGTTATAAAGTGAAAAAGTGTGGCATAGCAGGTCATCAGACCGATTTCTTGGCGGGTTTGGTTTTTTGCTCTTTCGACAACATAAGATCCTTTTTGAGATCGTTACTCCTTGCTAAGTCTCCAGACGCCGTCAGTGAAATGAGGCTTAGGAGCAGTTAAAGGCAAGATTCGGGTTCAAACAGGTGTGGAAAAGCGTTGGCGGGCGAGAGTGATGCCTTAAATTCGCGAAAAAAGCGAAACGTTACTGAGAGAGGAGAAGATCAGTAGTGAAGCGAGGCAGAAGTGTTAAGATAGTTGCACCAGGGTCAAGCGTGCGTTGAGGAATCCTCGACATGTCACAGAGGGGGGGGTCGTATTGGCCCGCTGGGGAGAGATCGGGCCCGATTGATACAGTAGGATCATCGTCGGAGGACAAACATTAACACGTTGACGACAACGCGAGTTTTGGCACTTTTGGCCACGTGGGACCACGGCGTTTTTGCGAGCGCCGCCGCCTCAGGTCGTTCAAGCAAATTTTGAGTGATAAAAACATAAATAATGATCAATACAAGGCCAGATCAATATATTGTAATGAGCACAACCTACTCGGAGGTACAGTAGCGGAATTTCTATTGAAAGACATGGGCTCCCCCACTTTCTTCACGATTTGGGGCGCGGCCGCGGCGAGCGCGGACGAGTCGATAGTGCCCGCGAACTGTGGTGGTGATGCGTTTTCAAATTTACCCACACAGTTCGCGGGCACTATCGACTCGGCCGCGCTCGCCGCGGCCGCGCCCCAAATCGTGAAGAAAGTGGGGGAGCCAAAGACATGGAATAACAATGAAAAAGCGAAATTCTTTCAGAACAAGCTGCAATGAACTTCAAAGGCAATTTTACGTTGATTATTTTAATCAAAACACATATATTGTCATCTCTAAGGTACCGTATCTACTTCTACTACTATTTAAACCTTCACATTCATAGGAAGAAAAAGTAAACGAAAAATTTATTAAGCTGAAGATTTCGTATGGTTCAGAAATCCTCCTCTAAATTGAAGCATACGTGACCATTCTATGGACCACTATGTTTTTAGCTAGGTCAAGGTCTCCTCCATTCAATAATTACAAGAAACTTCTAGAAGAACCAGGCGTGCGCGAAAAAAATTAGTGTAATGGGTGCGGGGGATATATCCCCCGCACGGTCCGACACGGCCTGCAATGCGCGGGATATATATCCCCCGCGTTGTCGTCAATGTGTTAAGGATCGAATCGATACCAGGCCAGAGTATTTCCAATAACAATTGATTCCGTCCACACAAAATCTTCGTGATTTAGAGGTGTCCGCTTAGCAATTCTTAGTGACTTTAGTGTTTCATCACCACACAAGTCAAAGGATCCGAAATTCGCACGTTTTCTAGGGATATTTTATCTTTCAAGTAGGTCCTCAAATCCAACGAGATGTGAAGCACACGGCGCATCCCAGAGTGGGCCCAGTTGGTTGCGCGCGCTTCAGCTACGGCTATCTTGATAACGAATCTTAATTCAGGAAGAATCAAGAGGGTTCTGAAAGAGTTCATGTTAAATTACAGAGAGGAGTACACTATTCAACAAGAAACGCAGCCTTCAGCGTCAAATTCACAAGCATGTAACCTTTAAAGTTGAGACCCGCTAAACAATTTTACACTTTTTGCAGAGAGAAAAGCACGAGGATTTTGAATCTGCTCCTACTTCAGTATGTAATCGCTCCTGCAAGGAGCTATAGTCGTTGGGATAGTGCTAATGTAGCGAAAAAGTACCTTTCGGCGGTACTCGGGCAAAAATCCTCAACGTGGCCATTTTTTAAATAGTGAACGTATTTAGCAGTTTTAGTTGCCTATAGAAAGAGCAAATCTTCTAGTTTATGATGACGTATTAACTTTCCAGATTGCATGAGTTTGAACGGAGTTATGGCTTTGGAAAGCGTAAAAACTCGCACTCATCACGAATTTTC